AATTAAAACTTTTTGTAAACGAAATGCGAAAAAAAAAAACAATAATAATTTCAGCTTTTACAAAATTGAATTTTTTGTAAAAAACTTTTTAAACGCGCAATTTTTTTCCTCCTCACAAAAAAAAAAAAACGACGTCCAAAAAAGTTGGAAGTGACACTCGAAATAATGATGTGATAGTATCAATTATTAGTTTTGTTTAATTTTTTTGAAAATATTAAAGCTCAATTTTATCTTTCAATTCTCCATCTCCTCCATAATTAAACATTCCAAGGCAAGCCGATACTGTCCTTCCGTATCGTTCCGGTAAGACATTTGCGCAGGAAATAATCAGCAATAAAAGTTCTACAACTGTTTGAGTTTTACTATTAGTTTGAACTCAATTAAACTGAACCAAATTTTGCAAGTTTTAAATGATTAAATGAAACTTACTTACTCCATTAAAAATAGATATTAATTTTTATGTATCGTTTAGTAAAATAATATGGAAATAATTTCGCTTTTTAAATTTAACCTTTTCATTTCAATCAGGCATTAATCGAAATTGTTCTATTGATTACAATGAATCTTATTGGCTTGTTTGTTTACTATCCGACGGAAATTGTACAACGAAAAACTTTTCATGAAACAAGGTCCGCTTTCTTTCTCTTTCTCTTTCTCCCTCTCTCTCTCTCTCTCTCTCTCTCTCTCTCTCTCTCTCTCTCTCTCTCTCTCTCTTTTTCTCTCTCTTTCGTTCTAACTAATTTCCTTGTTTGTTGACAATTTTTTTTTTTTTTTTGTATTTTTCACTACTATTTATTATTAATTTAATTTGATTACTTTGATGATATGTAAGTTGATTAGTTCGATAATCGATAAAGATAGAGATTAGAATGTAAATGAAAAAAAAAAAGAAGCAATGAATGCATGCTATTCAAATTTTCCTAAATAATCATTCGGAATTTTGGAAGTGCTTGGATTAGCGAGAATGGGAAGGAAAAAAAAAAAAGAAGAAAAAAACTTTTTTCGTTTTCAACCCTTAGGAAATGTGTGGAACGGCGAATTTTATTGCTACGAGAAAATATCAAGCAGGAAGATATATTGTTATCGGTACTTCCACGACATATAGCAAATGATGTCCGAAAAGATCGAGCTGTTGAAGGACAATCCGCAACAATGTTTCATAAAATTTACATACGAAAACATGATATCATCAGGTATGTGCTGGAAATTTTTCCTAACAGCTAATAAATTTTTAGAGAAAAAAAAAAAAACATGGAAATATCATTAGAATACGAAAATATCAAAAATTTTAGTGAATAAATCAATAACTGTTAATATATGAAAACGAGAGTATATAAAGATAATATTTTTTTTTTTTTGAAAATATTTTTACAAATACTAAAACTTTTCGAGATTCATCAGATTAATAGAAGTTATTAAATTGGTACTAACTTGATCTGATTGCAAAATCAAAAAATGCACGCAGCAAAAAAGCAATTTTTATTAACAACAAATAAATAAGCATCGTAGTCAGTCAATCATATGCTACAAACGTGATATCCATCAAAAATTATCCGCTTAGAAATATGCAAATAAATTTTGGAAGTACCATTAGAGTACGAAAATATCAAAAATTTACTAAATAAATCAGTAAATGTTGAATTGAATTAATCATATTAAGTAAATCAATAAATGAAGCAGTTAATGCAATACTGAAACATTTGTAAAAATAAAAGCATTTCACTCCAAAAATTTTAGTTTATTGTTTGCAAAAAAAAAAAAAAAACTACCGAAAAAGGATGCAAAATATTTACTAAAAGGAAAAAGTTCTTTTTTTTAAATTTAATTAAATTTTTTTTAGCCTAAAAAATCCAAAATATTGATCATTAGAAATGTTAATTAGTAATACAAAAAATTAATTAAATTAAAATATAAACTTGAATATTAATGATGAATTTTTTTTGTACACATTTAAATAGTTTCATTTTGCAATTCTCAATTTTTCATACAATACTGTGATTCATTGGAAATGCCGAAAATTACTGAATTTTCGGAAGTTTTCAAATTTCCATTTTTCAGAAATTCTCGATAATTTTACTTATTTCAAAGTTCATTGATAATTTTTTCATTCTCGAAATGCTTTTCGTGCTCTTTTTTTACTTTTAAATAAATAAAACAATTCTTAAAGAGAAAAATTTTAGCTAAGCGAATTTATCAGGAAAAGTTTGAAATATCATTATGAAAAACAAATTTAAAATTATAGCATACTTTTCGCTGACATTTGTGGTTTTACCAATTTGGCATCAGAATGTAATGCGGATGAATTGGTACAGTTGCTGAATAATCTCTTTGCTCGTTTCGATCATTTAGCATATCGTAATCATTGCATGAGAATTAAAATTCTCGGTGATTGCTATTATTGCGTTTCCGGTTTACCGGACTATCAACCAAATCATGCGCAATGTGCAGTTGAAATGGGATTAGAAATGATTGAAGTGATTAAGTCAGTCTTTTCTTTTTTTTTTGTTTTCTTCCTCTCACCTACTTTTTTTTCATCAATTATACCTGAAATGAAATGAATCATATCCGGAATACCGGAAGCCATATCAATTACACCATAAATAAGTTATTACGAAATACCAGAAATTGTGCTAATTCCATCTGAAATGAATCATTTCAGGAATACCGAAACTTATGATAATACGTTTTTTTTTTTTTGATAAATGATTTTCAGGTAAAATTAATTTGTACTAAAAGGTAATTAGCTGTTATAGATTGGTACGAGAAGTGACCGGTGTTAATGTGAACATGCGAGTTGGTATTCATACCGGTCGAGCTCATTGCGGTGTACTTGGCCTGAAAAAATGGCAATTTGACGTATGGAGTGATGATGTTACTTTAGCAAATCATATGGAAAGTGGTGGACTACCTGGGTGAGTAATTAAAAAAATTTCATCCCAGAGATAATTCTATTCGAATATCTTCGAGAGCATGAAAGTTTATGTTAGATCAGCTAAAAAAAAAAAAATAAGAAAAAAATGAAATAAGGAGAAGTGAAGTGATTTAAATTATTGATAATTTAAAGCGGGAAAAATAAAAAAATTAAATGAATGCAGTGAAAAAAAAAAATCGAATCCTAATTAATGCTTAATTTTGGTTCTTAAAAATTTTTAAAAATGATACATTTCTTAAAAACTTATTTCCATTACTTACACATATTTTTTGATCAAATATACTAATTGGACTAGGAAAGTTTGAAAATATTTGAAAAGTAATCATTGTGATATTTTCAGACGTATTCATATAACCGATGCAACATTGAAATGTTTGGGTGATATTTATCAAGTTGAGGATGGTCACGGTGAACAACGTTCAAAATATTTGGCTGAACATAAAGTTAAAACATATTTCATTGTTGATAATGATAGCAAGCATACAGTATGTATTTATATGTTGTTTTTTTTTTTTTGAATTAAGTAATTAATTGAAATTGAATTATGAAATTGATTAACTAAACGTTTTAATAAATAATCAAAATTGAGAATCAAAAAAAAAGAAAGTATATTTGATAAATAATCAATGAGATCAATCAATTAATTAATTAATTAATTAATTTCTTTTTCTTCCTTAAAGTTACTGTTTTGTTTTACAAATAATTTGTGAATATTAAATTTTAACTCTGTAATTTCGAATTTAATTAATTGTTACTGCTTTAGTCTTTTTTAGATATTAATTTACAGGAGATAGCATTGCATAGAGATATGCCACTTGGTGAGAAAGGCCTTCGAGTGACAGGCTATAGTCATGAAAATGCGCAAGTGAGACATTGGGAAAATGCAAGTGTAAGATTATTGAGTTATTTTTTTTTCTTCAATTCATTTTTCTAGTTAATTAGTTTTTGATTTCAAATTCACAACAGTTTCTAACATGTGTTATTATTTATACGAAACTATAATTATTCCTGAAAAATAAAAATTTATTCGGTTGTGAAATGTGATATAATAAATGATCAGAGATAATTTTTGATAAATGAACATAAAAATTTTTTTTTTTTGATTTTTCGATTAATTCATGATTGACAAATCTACTAATCTACTCTAATTAATTTCAGATAAATAAACTTTAAATATATAAATTAAAAGAAAAAAAAACATGGAGTAATTTTAAAACTAATTCAAATTATTTCAAATACGTATGTATTATTGTAAATAATGAAATATTATTATTAGCAAAAATAATAATCATTATTATTTGATCGAATATTTTTCTTTATCGGCGAATAATTCCAGTTTAGGCGATCAATGTCACATCATGAACAACAACAGCAGCAACAACAACAACAACATCAGCAACTACAACGCCAACAATCTGTAGATGTTGAAGTTGCAAATTATTTAATGCAAGGTATTCGAGCGATCAGTAAGGATGCCTGGAAAAATATGTATTGCAAAACGGTTACATTAAAATTTCGGCGTAGAAAAATGGAAACTAAGGTATGCAAATTAGATAACTCATCTTTTTCATCGAAAATTCAACTTATTATTCAGTTGTTTCAATTTATCATTTTCTCGCTGTTCCACAATCTATGAATAAACAAATAAGTGAATAGATAAATTAAATAAATAAATAAACAAATAAATTAATTAATTAATAAACAAATAAATGAACAAATAAACAAGCAAACAAACAAACAAGCAAACAAACAAACAA